GTGTGTGTGAGTGTTGTTTGTGTGTGTGTGTGAGTGTGTGAGTGAGTGAGAGAACTGGAACTTGATCCCACCCGCTTGTCATCTACACAGTTAAAGAAGAGCCCCTTTGACAGGAGAGGACCGCAGAATGAAAAAAGCTACTGCATCCCAGCAGAATATTTCACCAGCTCTCCTGTATGTTGCTAAGTACAAAACTTATTCTAAAGAAACAAATGGTTGCTTTTTCTTATGTATTTGAAAAGTTAACTGCCATGGCCTGAACTAGGTGTAGATGTTCACATTTTTGATAGATACTTGAGTTTCCTTTATTCATGTTCTGAGGGCTGGTGTTTTCTTTAAATAATGAATGAAAATGATCATATACATCTTTTGTATGAGACTAGGGGCGGCACGGTGCTTAAGTGGTTAACACTGTCACCTCACACCTCTGAGCCCTGGGTTTGAGTCTCCGCCAGGGTTCCGTATGTGTGAGTTTGCATGTTCTCCCTGTGTCATTGTGGGGTTTCATCCTGGTACAAAAACATGCTGAGGTTAATTAGAGTTGCCCAATTGCCCATTGGTGTGCATGTGTGAGTGACTGGGATAGGGTTAGGCTCCAGACACCCTGCGACCCTGAATAGGACAAGCGGTTTCAGAAAATGGATGGATGAGACTATCATTAAGTAAAACATAAATAAAAACTAAATTTAAAGTCCATATAAAGATGTTTTTGAATAGGTGCAATGTTTCATTTTGCAACCTTTACAACAGTTAAATCTGTGTCTTAATAGGCCGCATGTTCGATCCTAATGCCATAGTAACAGCCTTGCATGTTTTATTCAGTATTCTAGAGCAGATAGGCAGACCGGCCTGTGTTTGTACACAGCAAATTACATTTTACATTGAAAATGATGTATTTGACTCTGTCTGTACCTGTTAGATTTCATTGACTGCATCTGTAGATTGGAAAGATGTTGGCGTGGGAGGTAGTGCTATCGTTCGGCAACCAGAGGGTTGCAGGTTCAAGCCCTGGTTCCTCCTGACCCCATCAAATTGTCCTTGAGCAAGACACTGAACCCCAAATTGCTCCCGGTGTGCAGGTTGGCGCCTTGCATGGCAGCCTTCGCCACTGGTGTGTGAATGTGAGTGTGGATGGGTGAATGTGAGGCATGTATTGTAAAGCGCTTTGAGTACTCGTAGGAGTAGAAAAGCGCTATATAAATGCAGTCCATTTACCATTAATGACTAAATATGTTGTAATTTTCAACTAAATTAGCTAAAACTACAATAAAAGAATGAAATGACTAAAATTTAACTAAAATGAAATTGCATTTTCCTCAACATACTGCAACTAAATCAAAATATTCTGTAAAAATGAACACTGCTTGCAGGGTTCGAAACCTGGCAGAGGTTAGTGATTGTTTTGTGAGATACACAGTAAGCCCTCGTGCATTCGCGCTTCGTGATTTGTGAATTCACAGATCCGCGAAAATTTCATTGGAACCATCTGCGAAATCTTCAAAAAACCCTACAGAAGTGTTTATGTTCAATTTTCGTAGTAATTTATAAGTTTTCATGCTTTTAAGTGTAAAATTGGTAAGAAAAAATTAATATACAATATAAATCGGTTAAAAAATCCCTTAAAAAAAACATGGCTTTCTTATGGAAACATTCCTTTTTATGTACATACTGTACTGTACCTTTACAAAATGAATCCCATTCACAAAGTTTATTCCCTTTGGAACTGTCATGACCTGTTCGTCTGATTCTCCTGTGTGCCACGCCCCCTCATCTACCTCGTGTAGAATCCCCGTGTGATCAGCTGTATCGAGTTGCTGTCATTAATACTGAGTATTTCAGTCTACGTTTAAGTATGTTTCCCAAGTGTGGTTACTATCGTCATTTTCAGTTTGCTGCCTGTTCCGTTGTCCTGCTTGTCTTTACCTTTTGATTAAACCCCGTGTTCCCCGATTCCTTGCGTCCTGTCCCTGCTTCCCCAGTCCGTGCCCCAGCAGTATGTGACAAGAACGCTAATGGTTGCATAAATATTAGAAAATAGTTAATTTACTATTTTGTAATAGTAAGTACATGTTAATGTAAATTCAGTGCACAAAAATGATACATTTCTAATGTTTACGTAAATAGCAAATGGTTTCCCTCTCGAGACACATTTGCTATAAACACTGAAAGGGTTCCTTTTCTCGCTTTACCTTACTGTGAATGCAAAAGAAAACGGCAGCCAATGTCGCGTTCTATGAATTAGTAGGGGTACCATTAGTATACTGTACTGTAAATGTGCTAGTGTGACAAATATCCGTTAGGCGATACTGTACTCTATTTTTACATCAAACATTTGTTTTTTTAAAGGTAATGTATTAAGATAACTTTTAAATGAAATTAAAGTTTCATTTAAAGCATATTTAGGGTTTAAACTATAGAAATAATACAATTTTTAGTGACTCTACCAAACATCCGCAAATCCTCCTCATTCGCGACGGGTTCTGGAATGTAACCTTGCGAATGTCCGTGGTCTTACTGTATTTGAAATCTCCTTGCATATTGACTGTCATAGAGCACGTCTGTGTCTGTTTATGCCTGTTGATGTTTTGGAGAAAAACAGCAATGAGCAGCTTTTACTGTGAATTTTTGTGAATAGTTCTAGCATTTGGGATTTTCCTTCAGTGTGTCAGGGCTGCATATTTCCATCATATGATCCTGAAGTCACAATTACACAGCTATAGGCAAATTAAGTTTTCACACTTTTCAAATGAATCAGGATTTATTTTTTGCCGTTCTGAGGTTGTTCTGCTCTTTCTGCTCGTTTGCAAGCCCCCACAGAGGTTGCAGAAGTGATGGGGTTCAGCCGCCTTAGATTAAGGCGTGTAATTGCTGGCATGTCTGGATGTGCCCACCTCCTCTAGCTCCTTCTAAGAGCTTATCTGCCTCGGTGTGGTCAGGCCTCGTCGTCCTGCTTTTAGCTGCCTTGGTGTGGTCAGGCCTCCTCGTCCTGCCTTTAGCTGCCTCGGTGTGATCAGGCCTCCTCGTCCCGCTTTTTATGTGACATAGGCCTCCTAAATTTTCCAGTTGGGCCATTATTTCCTCCACTTAAGTCTCAGCTCAGTAGTGTAAGAAATTCCCAAGATGTCCAGAAATAATGTGTCTTATTGGCTAAATGTACATTTAATTTCATTATTTAATGTTTTTGTCTTTTAGAAGAAAACAAGGAAAACATCAATGCTTCTAAAAAAGCAGAAAGTATTGGTGAGTTGGAAAATTCAGAATTACCATATCAATTGCCTTCCTTGTAAGGCCGCTTTAAACCTAGTTCATACTTTACGCTTTCCGTGTGCACTTTCGGTCTGGGGCCGGTCGTCCGTGCGGTACCTTGTTTTCATACTGTGGATGCAAATGGTTGTGGTCGGCGCATGCGTACTGCAATGATATTCCTCCAGACCAGCAGAGGGCAGATCTCTTATGTCTGAATGAAGCTTACGCAAAAGCAGGATGACATAAGGTTTATAACCGCAAGTTTCAAGTCTTCTCGGGTTTTAAAACAATAAAAACATAACTTTCTTTTGTAAAACTACTTAACTAATGTTGGCTTTGTCTCGCAAACAATTTGGACAGTAAATATGTTTAATATTTACTATTTACCTCTGCTTGGCCATGTTTCTCACTGAAAATACTATTCGATTCGTGTGATTAAAATATTTTTGGATAGAAATCAATAATAAGACATAGGTGGAATATACGGAGCCCTTAAAAGGTCAGGGTGGGAAAATATTTCTTGAAATACTTTTGTGTTTCCTCGCAATAGTTTTGCAATCCTACTACACTTCCCCACCTGCTTTTTGCTGCAACTTCATGGCAAGGATAAACCTAAATAATGTTTGTGTGTGCACTTCGCGTTTAATAGCCTAGTTGTCTTGTTTAGTTACTGGTAATGAATTGACACAGTGCAATTATTAATAAATCCGTATAAAAACACATATATGAATGTTACATGGTGTGCATTGTCCCCCATAGATTAATGCTTAAAGCACACTTAACTGGACATGTCTGTAGCGTTTAAGCTTTTACTTATTATAATCGATTAATTATGATTAGTAATGGAAAACTATTGTGAGGGATCGCAAAAGTATTGTGAGGGAACGTAAAACTATTTAAAAAATATTTTGTCCCCCTGACCTCTTAGGGGCTCCGTATATCATACCTATGTCTTAATTATTATTGATTTCTGTCCAAAAAGCAAGGTTTATGCTAGACATGAAAATCTGAGCTACACGCATACCGACCTCATCCGTCCGCAGCCAGCCCCTGAGTGTGATGTTTACGTCACATTCCCTTGTCCGCAACTGAAAGCGCATGCAGAAAAATGAAGTATGAATTGGCCTTCAGTGTAATGACATAGGGGAAGATTACATGCACTGATTCAATGAACAGTATGGCAGTGGCAATACAGAGAATGTATTGATGACCAAACTTACCTGCAAAAACAAAAGGCAACTTTCAAATAAGTACCATCCTACCATTGGCAAATGTCTCATAATGTTGGTACCTGTGATGTGCTCCTTAGTGCTGTCTAAGTGTCTTAGTGCTGTATTAGTGGTGTCTGCTTAAGCTGGACTCTTAGATTCAGTAGATGACCGATGTTCGTTTCTTCTGTTCCATGTGTGTGTTCCCTCAGAAAACAAATGCTCGCTGCCTGGTATACTCAGAAGCTAAGAGACTCAAAAAGGTGAGGGAACATCATACAGTCAACCGACAGTCAGTCTTTTTGCTCCTTCTGTTTTCTCTCTCTGCTAAGATCAGTGTTCTCCTGTTAGTGAAAGGCTTGAATGCAGAAGATTTGAGAGAGTTATTGCACTGGATGATTGTGAACAGCATAAGACTGGGTAGGAAACAAAATGTTCTTTTTGTTTTGCAGCAATACACAATTTCTCACCACAGTGAATCTGAAGGTTTTCTGTTGGACTCTGACAATGCTGAGGTGAGGATTGGGGTGGCTTCCTGCTTTCCGTTTTTCCCCAGCTTCTTCAGTCTGATCAAACAGAGTGATGTGGAGCAGTACGAATGGGTTATGCTACCTGAAAACCACTTTCCCAGTACCACGTGGAAATTTTAGTTAAGCAGTTAGTGGAGCAAAGGTGACATGTTAACGATTCACGGTAAAATCAAAGCTTGTTCTACAGACTTCCTTCAAATATTTTCCCTGTCTTGTTGCTTTTCCTCTCTTCCTCCTCGTGGCTCGATCCTTTACTCGCCCTGTGTCAGTCTCCACCAGGCTCCCCTCAGGGCCGGAGTAAGAGGCACAGCCGGCGCAGTCGGCGCGCCTGCTGGAAATGTGACGCCTGTCTGCGCACGACGGACTGCGGCAAATGCGACTTTTGCATGGACAAGCCCAAGTTCGGGGGCAGCAATAAGAAGAGGCAGAAATGCCGCCTGCGGCAGTGCCAGAGCCAAGCCATGGTGAGCGGCTGCTGTGCGGATGCTGCACGTCGGTCTGGAGACACTTAAGAGCGATACGGCTGCAGAATTAGGGCCAATCCATGTGAAATGAAGGCCCTGTTTGGGATCGTCTGTGAAAATAACCTAGTGTTTAAAGGCGGGATTGTTTTTCAGAATCTGAACCTCAAAGCACATTTTTGGGAAAAAAAACTGAATAAGTAATGGGGGAGTGTGTTAATTAGCATGTAACCATATTGGCTCGTCTTTTCCGAAAGTGCTAATTATCCCTTTAATGTCTGAAGGGTGAGGTGTATGTTCTCACAGTAATGCTGTCAGGAGAATATTATTCTCATATTTGGATTCATTCACACTGAGAATTTCAGATCTTCTATCAGATCATTTCGTGACATTTGTATATATGCACTTCTTCAAAGTTGTAGATTCTGTCCGTGAGATCTTTGTAGTTGATATATTTTCTCCCCTCTGTGTGCGTGTGTGTGACAGCGCCACCTGCTGCCCCTCCAGCTTGTCCAGTCTAAACGCAGGGGCTGGATGGGTCGCCGCAGGAAGAGGGCAGGACGCTCCAGGAGCAAACTGAGGAAAACCTGGGAGGACTTTGGGGTGACTGACAACGACGGCAGTGATGAAGACTCCGTGGGAGGCCGGGCACCCAGCATGGAAGATGAGCAGATAAATGACAATGGAGTGCAGTCTTTTGGCAGCTATGCTTCCCAGATGGCCGGAGTAAGCTGTCCATTTATTGGCTGCAGCCCCTTTTCGCCGTGTGCATGTAGCTGCTTCCCGCTAAGTGCTGGTTACCAGCTTTCTTACGCAGCTTTTCCCGCGCAGGCGATGTTTGCGCCGAGCTTCGTTCCCGGCTTCGGCCGACTCGACACGGAGGCACTCTACATCAGCAGCTACCCTCTCCCCGTCCAGGCAGGGCCTCCGTCTCCCATCGGGCTTCTCCCAGGGCTGCATGCCGTTGGGCGTGAGAGCGGAGGGAGGGTCAACCTTCATGTCACCGCTGGAGGATTATCGCAATGCTCACAACGTTGTTGGCTGATGTTTGTTGTGGGTCCCCCAGGTGCCTGACCCGCTGCTACTCCCTCGCCAGGCTTGTTACCAGGGTAACAGTGGAATGCTGGAAATGATGAAGATGACTGACTTTGCTTCCAGGACACTGGATGCTGAGCAACCCCTTCCTCCTCCAGTGAGTACAGGGGACTCCCCAAATCCATCACTGCTGCATGGTCAGTCTTGTTCCGCTAAAAAATGGATGTGCTGTCACAGCTGGCACCTCCTGTGTCCCCAGGGCTCAGAGGCGGTCTTTAACCCGGCGGCGCTCATGCCGGATGCAGCTACTGGAGCTCAGGGGCTGGCGGTGGGTGACGACGTGAGGATCGTGGAGGTGGACACCGGGGAGGCGGAGGTCACGCCTGTGGTGAGCTCATGGCTCTTCCTCCACCGCCGCCACTGGCCTAGCATTGCGTGAGCCCGGCGCTCGATGACCATGGCTTCTCTGGTGCTTTGCAGATCACCGAGATTTTCAGCCTGGCTGAGAGCAGCCCGCTGGATGGTGGCGTGGACCAGGAGCTGCTGAGGCTGCTGGAGGCGCTGCGGCGCGCCGTGCTGCCGGCCCACTGGGTTGGCGTCATGGTGACAGGCCCGCGGCTGCAGCTGCTGCAGTGCTCCAAGCTGTCCACCATGGCCGACACCGTGCTGCACATCGAGCCCGACTTCTCCTACCACATCAGTGTGCAGGAGCTGCCGCTGCTCCTCACGCACCGGCTGTATGAGGCCCACCCTTCCCGCCTGGCCTCCACGACGGAGGTGACCTCTCTGCTCCTGGACCTGGAGAGCTACTCAGTGTGTCAGGGATACCCCGCCTTCGAGATTCCCCACCGGGAGCCGGTCCTGCACATGCGGGCGGCCGCCTGTGAGCTGCTGGTGCTACAGTCAGAGGAGCGCTGTGACAAGTGTGACGTCACCTCTCTGGTTCTGTGAGGGATTGGGGGTGGGGGGGGGTCATCAGGGATGTTGCCTCCCTTAGCCTCTCTCAGGGCCTAAAGAGAGTAGGGTTACCTCCATGTCGCAATGAGCCAGTGTTCATTTTAATTTTTTTTTTCTTTTCCACATGGTAGCCCTGCAGGAGATTTCTGGAGGTCTCTGTGTCACCTACTGTTACTACAGTTGTGTTTCTGTGGTGCTGTATATAAACAGGACATTGTCTGGGGCCATGAATAGAGAGGTGATTTTTAAACCAGATGGAAATGCTGCTTGATGTTGGGCTGCTTACTCTGTCATAATTCTTACTACACATTAATGTTGTGTGGGGTGGGCTTGGGGGCCTTGTAAAGATTAAGCTAACTACCTCTCTGTAGTTTCCTTCATTATTTTTCTGTCTTATTATGATACCACAATACATACAATGTGCTCCTCCTTCCACCTAATTTATTCAACTTTGTGCATCTTTTTATTTCTTCAGAGCAGTGAAGGTCAGGAAATTGTTTTAAAATGCCACAAAAAATCTATATGCAAATTTGGATGCAGGCTTGCTTGGTTTCCGATTTAAGTATGTAACAAGCTGTACCTTATATTCGATATTAGGGTAGGAGATCCTTTTCTGTTGTGTAGCATTTATAGCAGCAGTAACTCAGAAGTATTAAAATACATTCCTTGTTTTTTACCTAATTTTTCAAACATAAAATAAGGTGGGCAATCTGTCTGTTAATTTCCTTCCCCCTTACATGCTGCTTGTTGATTCTGAGCTTCCAAATCTTTCAGTTTTGGTTTGGAAATTTCACAGCATAGAGACTAGCTCTAGGAATACTGGACCAGCACTGACTTTTAAAGCATCCAGCTGAGAGGTCAGTATTCCAAGCAGCTAATCTGCTCCAGGATTTTGCAGTGAACCAGAGGGGTTGTTGTACTCCTGTTCTTGAGCATTGGTTATTGTAGACTTGTCAAAGCTAAAAAAAAAAAATCAAATGTCCAGTTGATTCTTTACAGTATCATACTTTTTATAGGAGCAAATTTTGGTTATTCTGAAGAGTTTACATTGGGGAAAAGATCGTATGGATAACTGCTATTTTGTGCTGAAACTCTTGCCTGAAATGGCTCTACAACACAAATACTAAAATATCCTAAATTTTCAAAAATTAATTAATTGAATCTGGCTGTCATGGAATCATGGAATCCAATATGTTCAACATTTCTTGCGTGTGATTCATGAGTTCGGTACCTTAGACTTCCAGAGGCTTTTTTACCTCAAAGCAAATAGAACTTTTAAAAATGCTGTGCATAGTAATTTTCTTGTAAATACCAATGAACATGATTCTATTTAAAAAGTTTAAGTTAAATTGATACACTGGATAATTGTTTCTGGTGTTCTGTTGCGAGGATGCCATCACATCGGAAAGCGCCAAATGTCACTCTTTCTGCCTTTGTCCTTTGTTACCAGATTACTGTTTCCACCTTTTGCATTAAATATTATCTTTACTTTGGTTTTGAGTGGGTTTGTTTTAATTAAAATTGACTTAGGTACATTTGTTGCACTGTTCTGCTAATTTGATTAAGGCAAAATTGTCCCTCTGACTTGTCAAATTCTGCTCAATAATTTACATGCATTTTGTGACTTAAACTAGATTTTTTGGTATCACGTGTGTTTTTGCAGATATTTACATGAACATACCAGGGCCAGGTGTGGCTCATCAGAAGCCAGGTAGGATAGAAAACCTACTGGATAGTAGCTCTCCAGGACCGGAGTTGGAGACCCCTGCTCCAGCATGTCCTGGGTCTTTCCCAGAGCCTCCACCCTGTGGGAGCTGGTCAGGTGACCATCCTTATAAGATGCCCCAACAATCTCAACTGAATCCTATTGATTGCAGGAGCACCGTCTCTGACCCTCCAGATCTCTGAATTCCACAATCACAGAGAGTATGTCCAGCAACCCTGCAGAAGAATATAATTTCAGTCACTTGAACTCCCAGCCTTGTTCTTTTGAATTTTAAGCACAGCTCACGGCCATAGGTAAGGATATAGGGATGTAGATTGACAGTAGAACTGTGAGTTTCGTAATATAACTTGACTCCAGCTTAATCACCACAGACATCCTCAGTGCACGTAAAACCACATCTGAAAGGTGCTGCCAATCTTTTAGGAGTACTATAGCCTCCGATTTAGAGGCGCTGACACTCATGCCTGCCACTTCATAATAACGCTTTACAGACAGTCCCTGAGTTTAAAATGTCTGAGTTACGGACAACTCATACTTGCGGATTGCCATAAAACCCTATTATATTAAAAAATTTTGTTTAAATACAACGGTTCACAATAACGAACGTAGACATTACTTGGTAAAGCTAGTGAAAACACAGCTTCACAGCTTGTCAGCTCGACGTACAGTACAGTACTGTATGTCGTTATTACTGTGTGATTTATGTACTGTAATTTTCTGACTTGCCTACAAATTCGACATAAAGACACTAAGGGAATGGATCTGGTTTGTAACCTGGGGACTGCCTTTATTTACCATATGTCCATTAGAATGTTAGCTTTCACGTACCTGATCTCTCTCTCTCTTTTAAGGTATACACACATGAGAGGGCAGAGCACGGAGTCAGGCATTTCTCTGATTCAGTGCATTTTTCGGGGGTTAAGGGCCTTGCTCGAGGGCTGAACAGCAATGTGACTACTTGCCCATGTTCAACATCGAGGTGCCTTGCAAGGTCCTGTTCGGATGATGCCAAAAGCATGACATTTGTGAATAGTTGGCATGCTCTCTTACAGTCCCCCTCACCGGATGGCCTTCACGTCACGGCAGCCCCTTGATATTTTTTCCATGGTAGTGGAGACAAGATGTGCCCTCGACAGAGGCCCATGCCCTCTCTAAATGGCTTTGATTTTGTGCCAAGGATGTGGACTCGGGTATTGCCGCATTCGTACAGGGTCTTGTGCTTTGTAGCCTGTATTCCTGTATTGGTAGCCTGTATTCCTGTACCCCTTGTGGCTAAGCATGCACTTATATGCTTACTCCAACTCCATAAAGCATGTGTAGACTGAAGAGCCATATTCCTGCAGGCCCTCAAATAGCTGTGAGAGAGTTAGTTCACAGTTCCACAGCCAAGCTGGAATCCACATCGCTCCTCCTGAGACCGAGGTTCGACTCCCCCCCAGTACTCTGGCGTCGGCTTTCCTGTGGAGGCTGAGAAGTGTTCTGCCCCTATAATCGAAGCATACCTTTGGTCCCACTTCTTAAAAATAGGCATCTCCAAAGGTATTTTATCTACCTGCCATGCAACATTGAAGAGGTACATCAAGCATGTCTACCCAAAAACACCCTGTGCTTTCAACACCTCTGGATGGATCTCATTTATTCCTGCCGCCTTTGCGCTATGGAGACTGGTCACTGTAGCAACAGCTGCAAGCAATGATTCTGATACACCAGAAGTTTCCAACACTGCCTCCTGTTGAGAGGGCATATTCACTGGGCTTAGGAATTCCTCAAAGCATTCTTTCACCATTTGATAATATCGCCAGAGCTGGTCAGCACTTCCCCACCCTGACTGAACATAGCCTGTGCAAGATCTCGCCTCCACCTCCCGTAGCATCAAATAGTTTGCTGAAACATCACGGGAGCCTTCCCAAATTCCTCCCATGAACAAGCTTTTGCGTGCGTGACTGCCTTCGGTGCAGCCTTTCTGGCCTATTGGTGCCCTTCAGCTGTCCCTGTGGAAGCACCGCCTCCTTCTTCTGCATTACAGCTTCCTTCACCACAGCTACCCATCACACGCCCTCCTAGGGTTACTGCTGTGAAATGCACTTAATGCCTTCTACCCACAGCTCTTTGCAGCTGCTGCAACAATTGCCATGAACATCTCCCAGACCTCACTCATCACTCAGGAGGAAGTTTCCCCCGAGGTTTCAGTTGAATTCATCTCTGCACAGAAGCTTTAGGCAGACTTTTGCGGCAAACACTGATTGATCGTCTGGGTTGTCCCAGTCCATCTGGCTACCACCTAATCCCTGTCCAGAGGACTCTTTGAGCTACTTCAGGTTTTACAAACTAATTCAAAACTGAAAGGCTCCAATGATTGGCTAAATAGTTCAGCTCTGACTGACCAATAAGCGCACAGCAAGGACTCGGTGCTTAAGTGAAACCCAGGTTTTAATTGAAATGGTAGTTTATAAATCTAACCTTAACCCCAACCCTAAGTAATGATCAGTGGGTAGTTCTGTCCCAAAACCCATGTTAGACTATGTTAATCAGTCTGCACTTGAAGTAGGTTGATCCTAGGTGTCCCTGGGGAGACTTAAACCCAGGCAACAGAGCTAACCAGTGCACCCCCATGCTGCCCCGTAGGAGCCTCATTTATGCAAAATCTTCTTTTCCTGCTGCAGTTCGGTTCTGTCTGATCTATTCTGATCAGCATCATCAGCATTTATGCAGGTTCTGCCAGCTAGTTTGTTGGGTCATCACTCTATTTCATGAATAACCTGTATCTGTCCAAGCTTTTTGAGAAAACCGGGTCTTTTTGGTGAGACGGTGCTGTGATGTCATTGCTGTATTTGCGAGTGTCTCTCTTTCAGTAAAAGCTGAAAGGCCCCTGAATACATGGGTTATTTGCCACCTGAACAGCTGCACTCGTCAGATCTTTGCCCTCCTAAATAAAGACCCACGAGAACCTACTGGAACTTCTAACTATAGCTGCTTGTACCTACATCTAGTTGTCTCACCTTATTTCTATTTTCTATCTGTATTTTACTTTTATTTTAATCTTTGTTATTTTGTGATTGTGTCCTGATTGTGTTATTGATCACCACCACCTGTACCAAAAAAATCCATGTGCTTCGTGAATAAATGCATTCTGATTCTGATTTATGCCAACTGTGCTTGTAATTACACTTGTTTCCCCACAAGGTGGCCTCACTCCTCTGGTGAGAATGTCAGGTTTCAATAAGTGCTGCAAATGTTTGCTTGGGATTTAGTATAGGGATAAAACCCAAAATTAATGTTTATTCCCAGCAGAAATGTTTCTCATTACTTGTAATAATGGAAACATTATACGCACCCTATTTCTCCAGTAATGTATGTTTGAGTATTAAATACAGTATTGTGGTACCCAGTAAGAACTTTAGTTAAACTGCAACTATATTAAAAAGAAAATTTATCTGTAAAACACCAAAGTGCATTTCAGTTTTATGATATTGCTGTTCTTGTTTTTTTTTTTGTATTATTCCAAAAGTTACATAATGTGTTAATTAGCCTAACACGCTGTGGTGTGGTGATATATGTTGAAATTGTAACAAAGGTCATGCCCCCCCCTCCCCCAGCTTTTGAAGATCAATCATAGTTGTAGTGGAACATGCCATTATTCTCCTTGTCAGCAGTAAGTACAGGGCTGGCAGGATGTAGTCAGGGTGCTTTTGTTAGTCAAGCAGAGTAAATCAGCCTCACCAGGGTGCCAGAGGTAGATAGTACGGGTCCGGAAAATAAAAATCCAGACCAAGATTTTGTTTCAACCAACCAGCTGAGTACTCAACTGTGACTGTGACTCTTTACACTCAACTAGTTTGGTGAAACAAAATATTGGTCTTGATTTTTACTTTCTGGACCTGAACTCTCCACCTCGGAGGGGTGCTGCACAAGGGATGCAGATGAGAGGGGCCTGGAGGGGAGGCCTGCCAGAAGTGACGGTCGTCGGTGTTGTTTCGTTAAGTATCCTGGCCTCCTCCACCTTCCTGCCGCCACACCTGAGGTGTTTGAAAGAATCTCTGTTTTCTCGTGGCCCTTGAGTTGTGCATGTGGGTGTTAAGTCAATTCTAGTGCGATTTCCGTTTGTGGTGGAGGCGTAGGACACCAGGCACGTTTTGTTAAGAGACACCTGCAGCCTGCGGAGGCTACCCTAGTGAAAGCTGAGAGAGGGGTCATTCAGCGCAGCCAATGTGGCCTGAAGTGAAAGAGCCCCTTTGTCCCTCTCAATGAGAAGAGGATCTTGTCTAAAGGAGGCCTTTCATTCACCATCACTCAGGCTCCTCATTACAGAACAAGTGTTGCGGGTCACCCAGGCCTAGCAGGTGGAGAGCTCTCCTTACATCTGGCTGCATGTCTTCGTATGTGCCATACCAGCGGCCCCTATCTACTCAAACATCCACTCTTCAGTGCTAATTTGTTATAATCGGTATTGGGTGATTAAAGCAACCTGAAATGTGTGTATAGCCAAGTAACAAGGTAATGATTCCATAGGCTCCGCCCAAAAACTGCCAAGATATATTTCAATAATAATTCAATATAATCATAAAGCAGTGTCATTCGAGATTTAAATTTTCCCCATATGGGTAAAATGTACAACAGCTGACTTTGCACTACTTAGTCATAAATGGCCATAGTGCTGAATTGGGGAATATATCCCAGTGTCCTCTTTCCACTGCATCATCATAACTGCAGGAGCTGCAGAGGGGCTATTGTTTACTGTCCAGTCCCACCCCACTAGCATTTAGTGAA